TGGTGGTTCAAAATTTAAATTACATTGGACAACGGATGATGGGACCGTGCTGCGTACTACTTATAGCTTTCCCAGCGGTGGAGTCAAAGATGGTAAAATCACGACAAGAGTTGATTCGGATACCGTGCCATTGATCCCACAGGGTTATTATAAAAGTTATGTCATATTAACGGTCGATCAATCACAATTTAGTGAGTGCACGAATGCTAATGGTCCTGGTATCAAAAGTGCAACCGTCAATGGTACGTTCGGATATAATTCAGTTTCAGAATGGGGAACAAATTAGAGCATTATGTCAACGAACATATTTTAAAACCTTCAACACACTAAACATTCTCATATCAAGTTATCTTATATAATAGACTCATTTTTCTTCTCTTATTCCTTTGTATTTCCATATATTAACTAAATAAAGAAAATCAAGTAAGCTGTACTATAGTTGGTTGCACTCGATATTCGAAGTCAAAGTGCAGGAGCTAGTTTCGCTAAAAGAAAATAACTGATGAAATTACGCGGCAATAAAGGGTGTAACTGAGAATACTTGCTCGTTATAATTTTTGCAAGTTTATTTACAAGTAGATGTTGGATTGCACAAAATCCCAAACCATATTTGTGTTTCGTACTGAAATAGTTTGGATTGAATTTGTGTTCGGTGAATTTGAGTTTGGCGAGAGATTGGAGATGTGGGATTTGTAACCCTAGACAGTTTAGATTTGTTATCTTCTTCAATAAAAAGAATTCTTACGATCGTTTCTTAGCTGGTGCAGAAGCAATTTGTATAATCAATTACCTTGTTCCCATATATCTATCTTGAGAGAATACTTTTGTAGTTAGTTCTCTCACCGGTCTTCATTCTCGCTTTAAAATGATTAAGAAAGAGGTTCTTGCGAGGAAAGTTCTTATGTTTTATTGCTTAAACTATACTTATACAAGTACAGAGAAAATCACGGATGTTCTTATTCGTCTCTAAATAGACATCTTCGCTCAGTTCATATCCTAACAGCTGAATATATCTGCTTTAATCAAAAGAGTATGTTCACTAGTTTTCTAATACTTTCGATGTTAGTCGGAGATTGAAGACAATAAACCGTAGTGTTTTGCTTCTTTTTCTTCTTGACAATACTAGAGGACTAATGACTGAGTGGTACCAGAAAAATAACGAAAAGAAGAAATGGACGATAATGTAAAAGAAGGATAATAAGACCGGTGTGTTTTTTTAATAATCAATCCTTTTATGCCTTAGACTGAACTTACTCGTAAGCTCCAATTCTCAAAATAGGTGGTAGGTCACACAATGTTCTTGTATCGTACGAGAGATTAAGGATGACAAATGGCGGTATATGGAGAAATTTCGTCACCTTTGTAACTCGTTTCTCTTGACAAATTATACTCACGCTAAAACAAGTATGTTGTCAAAACCATATTTGCCCTTATAGTCGACTGCACCACATGTATAAGGAGACACAACCATTTGTCCACAAAGAGCAGTACTTTCATTCTCAAACTCAACTAGTGTTACTGGATACATTCGTCTTCCGGTCATACTAAAAACATAAAAATTTTATTTCTAAAAAAGGAAGCAGTCAAAACTGTCTGCTGAGTTTATTATTATTAAAGTAGGTCAGAGCTGAAAATAGCATCATTTACGGTGCTACACAGCCAATTCAAAGCCAAGAAATAAATTTGCGTTCTGGGATAGTATAGAGAGATGATTAAGATGTAGCTGATAGATAAAAATCCATTGTGTAGAAAAAATGTTCATACGGACAAAGAACAACAGGAACACATTATGACCATTCGTATGACAATTACAACAAACATTACAGTTGACAGTCTATAATCTATCTGCACGTATCTGACGTCTTGAACAAACAATAGCAAGAGATAGTCGAACACGTATCAGATTAAATTCATTTAGTTTAATGAAGTTAGTTCATTAGCAATAATAAAACAAGCATAAAATCTGAAATATTTTAATCGGAATATTTTAAAAAGTAGACATCTCTAACAACGAAAATGAGACGACCAAGGTATCTTCATAATCGATTTCGAATTTCTTTGAATATAAGTGTTTCTTTTGTTGTCTGTCGATACAAACATTCTTTTATACAGTAAATAGCACAGAGCAGAGTTGGAATCCGATATCAGTAAATCGTTCTTAGCTTGATCGATCCGATCGGAAACTTTTCATGCAGCTTTAGCTCCGAAATAGGAACTTACTTTAATGAGAGTTCAGTTTGATTTTCCTTTTTCATGGTTTTATTCAGGCATCCATTATAAGTGCATTCTGTTTCGATTATGTATCGCTGTATATGTTTGATTGAATGAAAGACTGTTTCATCTACTGAACCATAAAGGTCTATGATTCCATCCCCCACTTTCAGTAACTTTTCCTCGAATAACCATTCAATTCTTCCTTTATCCCACCCTTCTTCTATAACTGTGTTAAATGTCTGTTCTAATCTAGCACATATTGGAGTAATATTGTCTGAAATATATTGTTTAACAATTGGAGACGATCGATACAAATAATAGATAAGAAAGAGTCGGGTATCTAAATTACATGTGTAGGTAATGTTATAAGAATGATTTTCATACCTGTAATTTTCGATTGAACACACGGGCCAATGCAACTGATTAATGGAAAAACCAGGTGGAGTTGATGAATTATCTGGATCTGAAATTGGATCACAAGAAAGGGCTATAGATGGCAGAGAATCATTTGAAGAATAATAGTTGTCATTTGATTTCGTTGGTTTTACATCATTAGATACGCTGAGATCTAATTCTTGTGATGGTAATTGACTATATTTGTCATCCAAATCGCTAAAAGGAAGAAGACAACCTTGTTAATTTTCATTGGTGGATAGAAAAGTGTAGAAGATTTTATGTATTTTCTCGTCATAGTTGACTACTTACATTTCTTCGTCTGACTTCTTATAAATATCATTGAACCCAAATCCATTTTCATCATACGCTTCATCATCCGATGTTTCATAATTATTGGCGTCATCACCTATTTCCCATGCTTCACGGAGATGGGAAAGTTGAATTCTTGTTAAAGATAGCCACATCTGACACAGTCTTTTCGTATCATCTGCTTAAAAAATTCGCCTTTCCTGTTTGATTCACTGAAATAATCTCGTGTAAGCAATTCATTAAGACGTTCAACACCTTATAGACTGAATGTATTTAGATTGTTGAAACGGTCGTAAAATTCGTGTAGATGACTGGAAAAAACATATATGTACGGAGTAATCTGATCAACGCCGAAAAGACGAGCATAATCGAGATCCCATTGCTCACATCCCTGTTTTAAATTGAACACATGTTCTTCTTTTAGTAGAGCATTGGTACTGATTTTACATTGATCGAGTATATCAAAAAAGTCTTTGATAAGTTGAGAAATTTTTTTTGCTTTTTCTTCGTCTTTAATAATAATTTCTAATGGTATACGACGAGTAAATTTTTCGTGTCTCGCACCAGTCATTGAACTAGCAACGCAGATTTTATTGTTTTCTAGTGGAAATTGAATGTGTGTCTACAACGAAAGAAAAATAATTTCAAAAGTTTATCTTTAAGTTAGCGATTCGACTGAAATATACTTTGGTTTCTTTTGAAAATTCGGTGAAAAAGATAAATGCACCTTTTAATTGCAATTCGGCTTCATCTATCCTAATTGGTGAGGATACAGGAAGTTGACAAGCGGCTTTGATTGCTTGTTTCAATAGAATATCTGCTATTCTCAATTTCATATGTAGTAAATTGGCGGGAATATTTTTGTAACTACAACAAAATATGACTGAAAAAGGAGCAAAACCTAAAAATGATTGTGCATATTCAAAATAGTTTTTGTACAGTGGGGTACGAGCATAGCCATAATTTTGTTTATCGCCAGAATTCAGAATTTCATGTTGTTCTTGCGCTGTTCTTGCACCACGATCTTCGGAAAATGCCGACCAGTTACGAATAGACCTGTGCGCCGGTCGGAAAATCGGCGGCGGCGTGTAACAGAACTTTTTCGATCAGCGGCAGCGGCAGAACCTTATTAGAAGAATTTTCGCCGTCGGCGGCGGCTAAAAGAAAATATTCAATCGGCGGCGACGGCTAAAAGATCATTTAAAGCGGTGGCTAAAATAAGCTTTTACGACGAGTTTCTCCACAAAACTTGGACGCCTTCGGCGGCGGCGCAAACATCTAACTTATCCAGCGGCAGCGGCGCGGCGCACAGGTCTAGTTACGAATAAATGAGAGTAATTGTTCTGTTCGAGCCTTCTTCTCTTTTTCCCTCATCCGTTTCTCTTCTCCATTCTCTTGTGTTTTTATTACTCCATCTTTTTTTCCACCTTTCTTCACTGTATTTTTCTTCTCTACTTCTTCTATATTAATTGAGCAGATTTATCTCTTCGATCACGGCTCGTTTTATCCAAAGCCTATCACAAATAGGAGGTTCCATAAGTAAACTTTTCTCAAACGAAATATACTTGGTGATAAAAAATTTACCTTGTCTTTTGAATTCATTTCGATCTCTCTTTCATCAGTTTTTGCTTTTTTGACTTTTGACGTTCGTAATGAGCCTGTCTTGTCTTCCATATCAATACTATCCAGTAATTTTAAACGAGTAATTTTACATCAGTTGCAAAAATGATTCGAACACGGTCCCGCTAGTCTCATTACTTGTGAAACCATTTTGTAATCGGCAGAATACGAAAAAATGATGTTATATTCAACACCAAATAGTTCCGTAACTTGTCCAGTTAATAAATTTTGTTGATAATGCTAATTCAACATTCTCCCTATTTTCTTTTTTTAACACGTACTGATGATAACGGTATTAATGACAGAGCATTTTGACACTCAGCATCTACTCA